ATGTCTTTCCTACAGTGTTGGGATCTCAACTTCAAAATGCATGAAGAACACATGCACAAACACTCACATATACAAAAACACATGTTCTTCTCAAGAATAAGCAGGAACTTGCTGGCATTGGGCAGTCAAAATCCCAATACAAAATGACCACAATGACAATCTTTTGCAATATTATGCAGAAAAATTTAGATTCCTGGGTTCATATCATCCTGAAGCACTTTATTACAGAGGAAAATCTTTACCTTCATAATAGCATAGTCTCACTGAGTAATTTTCCCAGAAAAAAAAATATATCTCTGAAGCAAATTTTAGTTTCCACCACTTGGCGGGAATACAATTCCCAGAAGCTTTAAAATGTGAGGGTCAAAAAAATTAGGATTTGGACAAATCCATGGTCACCTGGTTACAGTAGTAAAGATACATAACTACTTGCTTAATAGAAGCCTTAAGATGTTGTATTTTCATTATTTAGAAGAAAATCCATTGATTACAAATTTTTTTCTCAGTACTCACTCATAATATTTTTTTCCTAAATTCCCAGATTGTCTGTTACATTAGACAGAGAAAAATCCAATTATGAGATTATGTAGTTTTCAAGGGAAACTATGTTATGCAAGACGAGAAGATCTTTAACATGGATCCTAGAATCCATTTTTTTTCTTTTTTTTTTTCTTTTCATGAGAAACAGATGGAATTAGCAGACAGTGACAATAATTCATAGGATGACAAAATGTCTGGTTTGCCTGGGATAGTCCCAATTCACAATTGTTTTTCTGACATAACAATTAATAGCATCTGCTTTAACTTAGAGAATTAGTTAATTAATTAATTAAAAATTAAGTTAATAGAGAATTAAAAAAATTCTCTTTCAGTATTTTGAGTGAAATAAGAAAATTATGATTGGATATCATCAAGATCTATCCTGAAAGAAGGTACTAAAAGGAGGACAAGTATGTCATGGCTTCAGAAACTTAGCTTAAAGGTGAGGACACCCCCACTCCTACTCCTAACTGTAAAATACCCTAAATCACAAAGAAAGCAGTGCCTCTGGAGCTACTGAATGTTTGGACAATTAAATTCAAAGAGGAGGCTGAAAACAGATAATATCTGCATTTGATAGAGAATAAAGGGACAGAAAATTCTCTGATTGATCTCTGCCTCTTATTGAAATATTTACAGTTCACTGCAACTAAAAGCATCAAAGTATGCTCTGGATACTGGTTATGTTAACTTTTCTACTGCAAATTTCTCTACTCTTCTCCATCCTACTCTCCGCACCAAGTGATTGACTTGCACCAACCATGTAAACAGGCAGAAGCAAATGCTCTCTGCTTCCCACTGGGTTTGGCCAATGCGGACTTCCAGCAAGAGATCAGAGACAAAGAAGAAAATGAGGTCAGGATATTTATTCCTCTTTCCCTGAAAAATCACCTTGGACTGGATCTTACCCTTTTTCAGCAGTCATTGCTTCTTACAGAAAGCTGACTCTGTGCCATTTTCTTTCAGGATGCTGGTACTCATTCCATTTCTTCATTCACCTTGGGCCTAGAAATAGTAACATCTCTGTTGCTACTAACTCCAGCTTAATGAAATCATTTACAGTCCCTTTAAAAGATCTTTTGTACTTGTATACATACTTTAACATGTATATATACAAATGTTCTCTGAATACTTTGTTTTAAGATTGCTATCTATTTTCTATAGAGACTCTAACTGACATATCCACAATCTATAACCTTTCAAGTGTGTAACTATCTTGGCTATACAGTGGAAAGAGCATTGGGCTAGGAATCAGAAGGTTTAGTTTCAACCTCTGATTCTGATTCTGACTCTACCACTGTTTGACCTACACTTACACTCTCTAGAGCTCAGTTATTCTTGAGTGGATGTTAAAAGATTAGGGATGAGGAGAGCCCAGGCAGATAAGATTATCTGTAAAAACTTTTAGTCATACTATTATTTATAAAATTTTAAAATACTAAAAAAAGGTTAAGGATCTGCAACTTCTCTGTGTTATATGGAAACCCTACTATGATGACGATATGATTCTCTTCTTCAAGAAGAATACCCTTGATGGATCTAGGTAGAACACAGGTTTAATGTTCTTAGAAGATCAAGATACCTCAGTGTTTATCAATTTTAGAATGAAGACCAGGACAAAATCCTGACTTGTCTAAAAGATTCCGTAAAAGTCAGAGAAGCAAGGAAACTGGTGATAGGAGCTGACAAAATTGGCATAAAGGAGGACAGATCAACTTGAGATAATGACAAATCTCCCAGAATTCCAGGGGAATGCAGGGATTCAATAATTAATTTTTTCTCTTTAGCACAAACACTGGATATACTAAAAACTATAACCAGAGATTTAAAAAAAAATTCAAAATATGGTGTAAGCAGGAAATGTGTTGAAGGCTGAGATGAAGGAGGGAGGTCAAAATTTAAACACATCTTTTCTTCCTTTCCACCACCCACCCATATTCTCTTACAATAGTAAGACTTCCTTCTTTTTTTACTTCCTATGTATCAGGGATTTTCATTCCTTCATATCATCTTTCTTAAGGCAGACTTCACACTCTCCCCTCTCTGGAGTTATAATTGTGAAATGTCTACTGGGGAACATGACTTATAGGGGAGAGGACTGAAAATATGTTGATTTAGTATTTCAAAAGTGTCTCTGATAAATAGATAAGTGAGGTTTCAGTGACTGAAAATGGAAGCTTTTAAAGCAAGGAGGAATCAATAATGCTGCAGACACTTAGTTTTTTCTAATTTTCATACAACTACATTATTTCTCATGAAATATATCAGTGACAGTGGGATCCTTGCCTTGGGGAGGTCTCATTCTTTTTAGTCCTTCCATCCCTTGACTTTCTTACCCTAACTGTAATAAAATAGAGAAAAAAATATGCCTCTTCATAGTACCTGACATATAATAAGCACTCAATAAATATCAGTATTTATTACAGTATTATCATTCTTTTTTCCTACTTCTAGTTGTCATATGGATAGCGGCAGATGTGTCTGTGATACAACCTGATAAATCTGTAAAACTGTCAAAACTATCACATGGTTTGAAAAGGATAGCACTTATAGCTGATTGTATATTCTGAAGATGGACTCAATATCTCCCATCCCACATGCTCCTCTTATAATTTGCCCTCCCATAGTGTGGTGAGGCCTAACTGCCCTTCCCTGGGTAGACATCTATTACCATCTCAACTAGTAACTAGTTGCTATGTGACTTCTGAGGCTAGTTACTAAAAATGTCAGGTACTTCCACCTTGTTCTGTGACAATTGCTCTTGGAACCAGGCTGCCATACTGTGAGGAGGCTAAAACTAGGCCACACAGAGAAACTAAATGGAGAGGCTATACGTAAGTGTTCCAGCCCATAGCCAGCTACAGTTCCAGGCAAAATCCAGGGTCGATGGCCACCTCTCTCAATGAAGAGGTCTCCAAATGATTCCAGCCCCCAGCTATTAAGTTTTCCCATTAAGAGAGGGGGAAGAAAGAGAGAAAAAAGCCTAATAGAAGAATTCCATAGTTACCTGAAATAAGGAAAATTAGCTAGCAATTTTAAGATGTTTCCACTATCGTTGCCTAGCAAGAAGGGAATTTAGACATTAGATCAGTAATAAATAATGATGATGATAATGATGAAACCTTACATTTTCTTGGTCCACCTGAGTTGTATTTTAAGTAAATTTATAATTTTACTATAACCATTATAGTCAGGAAATGTTCTCCACAAATTCTCTTTCAATGTAACTAAAATTTTCCCAATTTGAGTTCCAAAATTTTATGTGACAAGATACTCTATTGAGCTATTTAATAATTCTCCTGTGTTTTTCTTGATTTGAAAAGAGCCATTTTCTCCATGTCCCCTACCCTACCCCAAAACAGCCAGATCCCTATATATCTAGGATTACTCTTATCAGCATGCCTTCTCCCCACCACCAAGAAGAGGTAAGAGTCCATTAAGGATTCCATTTTCCAAGAGGAACACTAAAAAAATTCCCACTCAGACCCTCAGGAACAGGAGATGCATGAAAAATTATGTTAGAGTTGTTGCACAGGGTTGGGGTAAAGAAAATGGAGAAGAAGAAATTCCTTAACACTGGGAAAACTGTGGTCATTTCCCGTAGTGGTGTGGTCTTTATAGCTCACCCTTGCTGCATTTCAGAAGTGGCCAGACTGGGACGCCCATGCCTGTGGGCCTAGATACCAAACGCTGTGGGTTTGAAATCAGTGGTTTTGCACTGTGCCCAGCCCATGATCAGTGGAGAGCACATGTAAGAAAGACATCTTTTTAGCCTGCCCAGAGCACAGGACAAAGCAGAGAATCCGCAAGAGTAACAATGGCAGTTATAATGGGCCAGTCACTCCTTTTGTCTTCTGGCATTAGGTAACCTAAGAATTCTTGCTGATTTCAAGCAAAGCAGGAAAACAAAACAAAACCCAAAGTACCAGTTGATACTTTTCTTCCCACTAATATCTTTGTGGTCTTTCCTTAAAAATCTTCCTTTTGCACAGATTTTTACTACAGTGACATTTGTTCTGAAGTGTCTGCCTAAAGCAATAGCCTCAAGCAATATCATATTACTTCATACTAAAGAAGTCAGGAAAAATTTGTAATTTTATTGTTTAGTTATTGATAACTAAGATTCTGCTTAGGATTAACAAACATGAGGTGAAGAGAAATAATAGAATTTATCAGGAAATAGAGATAGCACTACCTCTCTCTGGGGTTGTCATAAGGAATATGTGAAATATGGAATATCGTATTACTTTTCTATTGCTGCCATAACAAATTATCAGAAACTCAGAGTCTTAATTTTAACACAAATGTAGTACCCTACAATTCTGTAGCATAGATGCTACAGATGCAGTCCTCACTAGGCTAAAATCTAGGGGTAGGTAGTGTGTGTTCCTTTCTGGAAGCTTTAAGGGGAAATCCATTTCCTTGTCCAGCACTAGATGTTGCCTGCACTCCATAACTTGAGACCCCCTTCCTCCATCTTCAAAGCCAGTAGCAGTTGCCTGAGTCCTCAAATCACATCATGATGAAATTCTCTTCTGCCTCTTTCTTCCACTTTGAAGGATGCTTTTAATTATATAGAGCTCATCCAAATAATCTAGGAAAATCTCCCCATTTTTAAGGTCAGCTGATTAACAACCTTAATTTCCCTTGGCCATGTAATTTAACATATTCACAGTTCTAGGGACTAGGATGTGGACATCTATGGGGGTCATTATTCTGCTGACCACAAATGTGAACTGCCTAGCCCAGTACTTAGCAAATGTTAGGCAACAAATAAATGCTAGTTTTCTTCCCCACTTACTCTCTATTAGTCTTATTACTCTATTAGTATGTTCAGGCTGCCTTAATAAAACACCACAGGTTTCAGTGGTATTAAACCACTTTATTGGTTTAATAAACACCATTTATAAATAAATAAGTGCCACATATTTATGGTATTATTCTGACTTAAACAACAGAAATTTATTTCTCACAGTTCTGGAGGCTGAAGTCCAAGATCAAAGTGCTGGCAGATTTGGTTCCTGGTGAAAGCACCTTCCTGGCTTGTGGACAGCTTCTTTGTCCACACATGGCCTTTCCTCTGAGGAAAGAGAGAATGAGCTCTCTGGTATCTTTTCTTAAAAGGACACTAATCCTATAAGATTAGAGCCCCAACTTCATGACCTCATTTATTTGTTTCCTTAGAGGCCCCATCTCCAAATGCAGCTATCCTGGGGGTTAGGTCTTCAACATATAAATTTTGAGGAGACCCATTCAGTTCATAAACTCTCTCACCTAACAATCCACACTATTTCCTTCGAATTTTGCCCTGACCATCCCCAATATGCCTACCCAATCTTACCTACTGAATAATTCACATACTTGTCATAGCAGGTATGCCCAATGAATTCCAATACATTTATTGTAACTATTCATTCCTATAGTCTTAATCATATTTGCCAAGGACTACCAAAATATATCTCAGTCTGCTCTCTCTGTGTTTTTAACTGATGTAACCAACCACTTTCTAGACATCTCAATTTGTATGTTTTATGGGCTCCTCAAACTCCACATGTATTATTTAAATGCATTAACTCGACCCTTCCCTCAGTCAAAAAAAAAAAAAAAAAAAATTCTCCTCATCCTGTGTTCTTCATCTCAGGATACGGTATCTCTTTATTTGGCAGTTATTCAAATCTTAAACTCAAGAGTTATCTGACCCTTTCCTCTAATTGTCCACAACCAGTGAATCATCAAATCTGACATTTTTTTATCTCCTAATATCTCTTAATTCCAGTCCTTTCCATATTCCATCTTGCCTCCCCTAAACCATTTTAACTAGCCTTTTAACTAGCCTCTCCATATCCACTCTTGCCTCCTCCATTCCTTTCTTTTCAAAGCAGCCAAAAATAATCACTCTCCTACTTAAAGTTTACTGTTGCTCTCTATGTGGCATATAAGGTCCTCCATGATTAGGCTCCTTTCTACCTCTTTGGTCTTCTTTAACAGTCTTTAAGTTTAAGGGTAGACTTCTCTCACTCTCCAATATATATATTTTAAAGATTTTATTTATTTATTTGAGAGAGAGAGCAAGAATGAGAGAGAGAACATGAGCAGGGGGAGGCAGAGGGAGAGGGAGAAGCAGACTCCCCGCTGAGCAGGGAGCCCGACATGGGACGCGATCCCAGGATCCTGAGATCATGACCTGAGCCAAAGGCAGATGCTTAACCAACTAAGCCACCCAGGCACCCCTCACTCTCCAACATTTTATCATCTCTCTTCACACATACTGTTCCCTCCACCTGTAACAATCTCTCGACTCCCCATTAGTCTGGCTAGTCTACTTATCTCAAAAGTCACTGCTTAACCTCTCATTCTTTAAAAAGCACTTACCTGACTCTAAAATTAAATTATTTTGCTGTAACATTTAATGGCTGTTGGGAAAGAAAATCTTTTCCTCTACTCTCTTAGGTTTATCCTGGGGGCCTAAAAATTAAAACAACAAAAGACAGATTAGCAAGAGAAGAGACAGATTTAATCACATACATGTGGGACTTCATATAAAAATGTGATTCAGGGAGAAGGTTAGAACTTGGGGCTTATATACTATCTTAATAGGGGAAGGGGAGGAGGAAAAACAGACTCACGGGAAAACGATTTCTAGGAAGGAAAAATGGGCTCTTAGGAGAATAGATGGAATATATAATAGTCTTGTGACAATTCCTGCTTAAGTGTGATACTGATTTCTAGTCTCCAGTGATAAGAGTCAATTTTGTCAGTTTCTCTCCCAGGGGAAGGGATTTATGACAACTGAGTTCTTTTGAATTCTTTTGGGAGGCTCTGCTTTTAGGCAGTTAAAATATTTCAGGAACTTAAATGCCTCTGCTCAAAATAACTTTTATGCCAGAGGTGTAGTCTGGACCCCTTCAGAGCATGCAACATTTTCCTTTCTTACCTCATTGCACAGCCATTTCTTTTGCCTTTCCAAGACTGTAAGCAAATGAAAGCTGATGCCACACTAGTCTTGTTCAGTACCCCAGTACCTTTAAATCAGTTAAAATATGTAAATGAACCAGATGTCCTCTGGTGAACATCCAGGCCTGTGTGGCCCAGTCACTTGACTTATTCAAAAGCATCTGTGCTAGACACTAAGTGGCCTGGTTAATCAACAATAAATGGCTTCATATGAACATATGAACACAATTGACTTTATTTAAATTGCCTAAGAGCATTTTTTTATTTTTGGCAGCCATGCTCCTTGTTATGATGTTGGATAAAGGCAATAAATAATGACAATCCTTTAAGAGAGGCAGGGACAGTTTTATACTTATTTGAAACAGGTGTCAAGCTGTTTTTAAGATGTAGCTACTAAAAAAAAGAATGATGAACTCATTTCTTTCGAGACTTTTAGGAGAAAATGCCTCCATCCACAGGTTCTTTTATTGTGTCAATAGATGTCTATTCTCCAGGGTCTAATTGGAAGCAAACTTCGGACCTCACTACGGGTAATAAGAAAGTAAAAACCAAAACCCATTTCCTCACATGTTGGGTGTAGGTAAAGGAAACCTGCGAGGCCTTGCTCACTTTCCGTCCACAGGTACAAAGGTAGACAACAGGGCACATCACAGAGGACTTCACCTGAGCCACCTTCCTGACCACCGAGGTCGTCCGCCCGTGACGTAACCGGAAGCAGCTGCTGTGACGCCCAAACGGCCCTCCCTCTCGCGCTGGGCGCCGGAAGCAAAACGGAAGGAGACGTGCACCCGCTTCCGGGCCCGGGCGCCATTTCTAGCGATTGCAGGTTCTCACGAGTTGTAGTCCGCTGGGACAATGAGCTACGATTACCATCAGAACTGGGGCCGGGACGGCGGGCCCCGCAGCTCCGGCGGGGGCTACGGAGGAAGCTATGGGGGGGGCCATGGAGGAGGCCATGGAGGGAACCGAGGCTCCGGAGGCGGCGGCGGTGGCGGAGGAGGTGGTCGAGGCGGCCGCGGCCGACATCCCGGGCACCTGAAAGGCCGCGAAATCGGCTTGTGGTATGCGAAGAAACAGGGACAGAAGAACAAGGAAGCGGAGAGGCAGGAGGTAAATCTGAGCCTCGATAGCGGGGAGGGATGAGACAGGACATTTTTCCAACTCTTCCGCCGCCCCTAACCTCTTCGTTGCTTTTTTTTCTTAACTGGTGCATATGCTGTGTGAAGTGTGCAAAGGTATTCTGCTAAAATTTCCGGTAGCGGATATTTTGTCGTTTTTCGTTAGCCATGCTCATCTGACCCGAAGCAGTTAGGATTTATGCAAGCTGAATGTATATTTTGCTTTAAGGACGTGAGAACTGTGAACAAAACAGATGTTAAGTTCAGGTCCTATCCGAAATTAACTTTATTGGGGTGTCAGTGTCATAGTATCCATGGCTACCCTTTCTATTAGAAAAATTCTTGGCCTGAAGAGCTAGAAAACAGCGGCCTTCTTCATAACAGGTTCGCGCAGAATAAAAGCTGTCAAGCACTATTTTGAATGTAGGTCGTTCGGAAGAATAGTCTAGCTTTCATTTTTAGTATTAAAATAACCAGAGACCCAGGGTTTTTGTTTTGTTTTGTTTTTATGTTGGGCTGGGGAGAGTTCTGTTGATTAGTAGCTCCTCTTTGAGAATGAAACTTAGGATCCTAGAAATAGAAGAAATTTCAAAAGATGATTTGATTTAGGCTCTTCAGGTTGGTGATTGCCCATTTGATTTCAATCTTGGCGATCTGTAGTAAGGGAAACATTAAAGTTCCCTTGGTGGGAACTTTAATTTTTTTAATATATATTTTTTTTAAAACAGAATTTTTCTTACTATAAGTCTGAGACATCTTTTTAGTAACTTCTTTAAAAGCACCCTTCATATGAGATACAGAATGTAATTAAATCTTCATTTAGGCTTCTGTTTCCAAATCATTTTTATTTCTTTATTTTTCTTTTATTCATGTCATTTTCTTTTTTTTTTTTTAAAGATTTTATTTATTTATTTGAGACAGAGAGAATGAGAGAGACAGAGAGCACATGAGAGGGAGGAGGGTCAGAGGGAGAAGCAGACTCCCTGCCGAGCAGGGAGCCTGATGCGGGACTCTATCCAGGGACTCCAGGATCATGACCTGAGCCGAAGGCAGTCGCTTAACCAACTGAGCCACCCAGGCGCCCCTATTCATGTCATTTTCATCAAAGTGTTTTTTGGCCATTATCCATTTATCTTCACACCTTACCACATTTTTCTATTTTAATATATATATATTTTATATATATATATATATATATATATATTTGTCAGCCCAAAATTAACTTGTTCATTGAGCAAACTTTTTTTTTTTTAAGATTATTTATTTATTTATTTATTTGCGAGAGAGAATGAGAGACAGAGAGCATGAGAGGGAGGAGGGTCAGAGGGAGAAGCAGACTCCCCGCCGAGCAGGGAGCACGATGCGGGACTCGAACCCGGGACTACAGGATTATGACCTGAGCCGAAGGCAGTCGCTTAACCAACTGAGCCACCCAGGCGCCCGAGCAAACTTTTTTCTTAAATGAAGGGTAGCTTATCTAAGTCATCTTAAAATTGGAAGAATAATAGGCTGATTGCCATAAAAGGATGTACACAGTAACTAGAAAGTTATTCTTCATTAAATTTTATTTAGCCTCTGTTTCCTACAAGGTGTTATGCATGTTGCCATGGGGATCTGAAGAAATATGATGTTGGGAAATATGATAATGGTTGGGAAAATAAGACGTAAACAGATGGAAAGTTTAATCAGAAAAAATTGTTCGTTATTATTTCCATCTGAAGCTAGTTGTGTGATGGATCATTGTAAATGGAACTCTGGATTTCTACCCCCTCCCCAAACTTTATTTTAGTAAATGTTACTACCATTTACTCACTTGCAAGGCCCAAACTGGATTTATCTTTGATATTTCTTTCATTTCAGCACATCTGTCTGCTCTGCCTTCTCAGTATATCCCAAATCCAACCACTTGTCTCAACAGCAGTTATCCCACAGATCAAGCCACCATTTTGTTCAGTGTTCTTGGCCTCTTAACAAATCTAACTTCCACTCCTGCTTTCCACTGAGTCTATCCTTTGTAGAACCATTCATGGTGCTTTCAAAAGCAAAAATTAGATGATCTCATTCTCTAGCTCACATTTGGGATTGGAAGCCAGATCACCTCTGTCTGAGTTGAATACATTTCAGTTGCATCCTAACGTGTTTTACAGGAAATCTTGGTAATATAGCTTCAGTGTACCAGGTTTCCTTCTGTGTACTGAGCCCATGTCCCCAATATGATGTAATTATAGCTTTTGTAAATATACTTCTATTTTTGTTTTGTATTACAGGTCTCATACCATTCTCTCTGAAATTCATCTCCATTTTCTCAATCTAAATATGACCATTTTTCAGTGATTGGTTTATCCTACCTTTTTTTTTTTTTTTTTTTTGGACCACCTTCAGCCATATGTGATTGCTTCCCAGTCAATTTCCTTGGCTTTCAATTACTTTTTAAGTAATTCCTGTGTTTACCAAGTTACTGCATTCTAACAACATGCTCTTTTTCTTTCAACTTCCTTTTTTTTTTAATTGAGCATCTGAAACATTTGAGACATTACCTTAAGCACTGTGTTAATAGAATATAATCACTGCCTTACAGAAATGGTGGTGTTAGGGGCTGTTAGAGGGATAGAATACAGTGTTAAAGTATTATAATGAGAATATGGGCTATCACCTAACTCAAACTAAGAAGATTCTAGGTTTTCCAGAAGAAGTAACCCTTAAGCTGAAAGTTGAAAGATAGCAAAGTGTGTGTGTGTGTGTGTGTGTGTGTGTGTTTGCAATTGGGGGATTTGGAAAGGGATTTTCAGGCAGAGGCAGCAGCATGTGCCACAATTTAGAGGTTAAGAGGAATGTGTTCAAGGAACTGAAAGAATAGGGCATAGTGTGTTTAGTGTGGTGAGATGAAGGTAGAGCGGTGGCTTTCAAACTTGTTGACCACTTCCCACAGAAAGGAATATATGTTAATTTGCACCCGGTACACACATATGTATAACTGAACAAAAAATGTCATAAAATAATATTTAATTATCTGTATATTGCTCTGGGTGTGTTGTTTTTGCTCTTTTTTTTTTTTTTAATTAATACTGGTCATGATACTTTATAAGCAGCAATTTGAAAAGCCTAGGACTAGGCTTTTAAATAAGCAGGGCCTTGAAATTCATTGACTCTTCCGTAAGAACTTCTATAAGTCATTAAATCATTTGAAGCAAAAAAATGAAATGATTGAATTTGTGTTTAAATTCATTGTGGCAGGAGTATAGAGAATGAATTGAAAAGAGGCAGTCCTGGGACAGGGACCAGTTAAGTAGCCTTTGCAGTAATTAAAGTGAGAAATGATAGCTTGAATTAGGACATTGGGAGTGGAGATGGAGGAAAGTGACAGATTAAAGTGATTTAGGAGATAGATTCAAACGTGCTTTTATCTGGAGGCAAGGGGAAAGCAAGTATTAATAAATGACATGTTTATGATTATGTAAGGAACAGGCTTGATGGAGGAAGATGATGGACTTAGCTTAAGGACAGAGTTTCATTTTGTTACAGGGCATAAAAGCGAGGATTTCGGGGTGCCGCCTGGGTGGCTCAGTTGTTTAAGTGTCTGACTCTTGATTTTGGCTCAGGTCATGAGCTCAGAGTCTGCTTGAGATTTTCTCTCTCTCTCTGCCCCCCCCATGTGTGTGCACGCTTTCTCTCTCTAAAATAAATAAAATCTATGAAAAAAAAGCGCAAGGACTTCAGGGAGGTAGAAGGCCATGTGGATCTGATGCCTAGAGAAGTCTAGACTGGCAGTTTATAGTTCTGTGGATTGTAGGAAATGACCAGAGAAGATGAGGAGTGGGTGCAAGCCTAAATTCTATAGACCATTGTTTTCTTTTTCTTTTTCTTTTTTTAACTAAAAGGATGGTTTTTAATGGGAACCAGAGGTATGGTTACAATTACATAGTCCGACCCGTGGGTCATCAGGAATTGGAAGGTTACAAAATAATGAGGGTAACACTGGGTACAAGAAGAAAAGCTATTGCAGAACCTCAGGAGCCAAGCTAATATGACCTCAGACCATTGTTTTCAAACTTAGATGTGCCTAGGAATCAACTGGTACCTTGTTAAAATGTGGGACTGGAGTGGAGCCAGAGATTCTGTTTTCCTTACAGACTCCCAGATGGTGTCAGTGTTGCTAGCTTGTGGATCACTAGGGTTGTTCAGTGTATAAAAGGAAAATTTAAGGGATGGAGTAAGAGAAGATCCTTAGGTTCTTACCTAGGAAGGAGCAGCCAGAGAAGAGGAAAAATGAAATGGGTGTTGTTTTGGAATCCAGGAGCAGTGTTTAAGGGAGCAAAGAGTATACAAAGAAGGGAAAGTAGTCAATAGTAGTGAATGTTACAGAGTGGTCAAGTAAGGTAAGAGCTCAGAATGTCTATTGGATTTCGCAACAGGGTCATTGGTAACCTTGATGAGAGCCCT